GCTCACAGCTGTACCGCTTCATTCATCTTCATCCGTGCATTCATGTTGACAGTGTGTGCATTGAGTAAAAGATACGGTTCTTAAGGCGGGTTTTTACTTACGGGTTTGGATCATCAGAACTTCCGTGCGGCAAACTGGCAATCGCAGGGTCAAACACGTGTACAATTAACAATGGACTCTCTGCGAGAACTCGCTGAATACTTGAGCACCAACACCCGATTTGACCTGAGACTCTGCGCGCTGAACCACGTGCTGCGTACGTATTGTTATTTGAGTATTTTGATACGAGTATCTCGCGCTCCACCACGTTGATTCCCTTTGCACAAGCCTCGACGGAACATTTAATATTCACGCAGACGTGACGGCGACCGCCGACGGCCGGGAACTCCTGCTGAAGCTGCCGGAAACGTTGAAGCAACTTGTTACGTTTGTACAAGATTCTAGCGCTCCTATCAGCAAGTGCGCCGCGCAAACGTTAGTAAATGTCACCGGGGATGAGGCTGGGACCAACGCAATGCTGATTATTTCGGAGTCGAGTAATTCGACAGAGAAGAGTACGTCTGGTAAGCGAACTTAATAATTTTGTTCAGTTGTACTTGCTCTAAGTCTCTGCCCCATCAGCAGACTGTCGACAATCCGCCGGCAGATTGGCAGCAAAAGATGAACGAGCGGAATCTGGTTGTTTCGCAAATAGAATATTTTGAATACTTGCGCAATCGCAGATTCCTCTCGAGTTTTGCTGGAGTTCCGCGGACAATATTACCGCAGGCATTTTGTAAAGTCTGTTTTCGACAGGTTCAGCTAACCAGGAACCTAGTCAGAATTTAATCAAAATTTGTCTGAGGTAACGTATCATTGTATACTTGTTGTTACTCCATTCTGGTTGAGATATTTTACGTATTATGTCTGCAGGTGTATAATGGACAAGTCCAATACACTGGCCGATGTATGCTGCATGATACTTTCTAACATGACTAGGCCGTTTCATCTAGTAGACAGGGTGGTAAACCTCATCGAACAGAGCGGTTACTCTTGGGATGAAATAGTAGCTGCATTTACTGCAAAGCAGTACAACACTAAGGGTGAAAAATTGCACTACCTTGGACCTGTCTTCAGCAATCTCAGTCAATCGCCACATGTAAGAAGGTACCGTTTAGTTGGTTATCTTTGCATTTTGCTAAATTAAATTTCGTAGTTACACGCGCCTCGGTACAGGTATCTGATGGATCGGGATCGTTGCGTTCTTCAGCGACTCCTACCCTTCACAGAGTATTCTGACAGTCTGATTAGACGAGGCGGTGTGATCGGCACTTTGAAAAATTGCACTTTCGACACAGAACATCACGAGTGGTTGCTAAGCCCCGAGGTGGATTTGTTATCGTACCTGTTGTTGCCTCTTGCTGGCCCGGAAGAGTTGGACGATGAGGATAACGATAAATTGCCAATTAACTTGCAATATCTTCCTGAAACAAAAACTCGAGAAGCTGATCCAGACATAAGGTAAATTGTAACACGGCGGATACTCACTTTACGAAAAATCTAATGTGAAGAGATATTATTGACACTATTATTATATCATTTCAGATTTATGCTTTTAGAAGCGTTAAATCAGCTCTGTGCAACGAAAGTGGCTAGACAAATATTGAGAGAAAAAAATACATACGTCATCCTCAGGGAGCTCCACAAATGGGAAAAGGACAAGAGCTGCTTACTGGCGTGTGAAAATGTCGTGGATATCTTGATAAAGTAAATATTTGAAATTAAATTTCTACTCGTACCTGTGTTTTGTATAT